ATGTATCACTACAACCCCGATTTTTTACCAACACAAATCTGTCTATATCACTGTACAACCCCGATTTTTTCCTGATTCTTTTACTAACACCAAACTGTCTGTATCCATGTACAAGACCGTTTTTTCCCCGAGTGTTTGTCTCTTGATGCAAACAACTTATATGGCAAGGCCATGTCTCGATGTTTGTATCTAGATGCAAATAACTTGTATGGCAAGGCCATGTTTCAGTGTTTGCCTCTTGATGCAAATAACTTGTATGGCAAGGCCATGTCTCAGCGTTTGTCTCTTGATGCAAATAACTTATATGGCAAGGTTATGACTCAGTGTTTGTCTTTTGATGCAAATAACTTATATGGCAAGGCCATGACTCAGTGTTTGTCTCTTGATGCAAATAATTTATATGGCAAGGTTATGACTCAGTGTTTGTCTTTTGATGCAAATAACTTATATGGCAAGGCCATGTCTCAGTGTTTGTCTCTTAATTCAAATAACTTATATGGCAAGGTCATGTCTTAGTGTTTGGCTCTTGGTGCAAATAACTTATATGGCAAGGCCATGTTTCAGTGTTTGTCTCTTGATACAAATAAATAACATATATGGTAATGGCATGTATCTTTCCGAACTGAATCCGACCCGATTTTTCGGATATCTTCACACCTCTAGTTTTTAGTTTTGTACCTGGATGATAAGCTAACGAGCTATAATTTCGTCTCAAAAATATCCCGTAGGTATTTTAATCTCACCCGATGCTTCGTGATAAAAAATAATAAAAGTATGATTTAAATTGGCATTCTGTTAATTAAGTTTTTTTTTACCCGCCCTTATGACAGTGTGTATCTGGATCCGGATCCGAAGATCCGGATCCGAATTTTTCAAGATCCGGATCCGGTACCGACATTTTCTTGGATCCGCCCATCACTAATATAAGAACCTCATAACCAAATGCAAAAAAAACCTCTGGTTTCAAATTACTTTATTATAATTTATTAAGATTCTTTGAATAATCAAGACACTATGCTATGCTGTAATTGAATATTTTTTATGCAATTCAATGTACGATTATTATTGAATAAAGATATCAAAATGAAATGAAGGCTTTATAGTAGTAACTCATCTTTATATATAAAAGGCAAAGCCCTCACTGACTCACTCTCATCACTACTATAATTCTCCCACTTCCCATTTATCTAGGAGGCTGAAATTTGGTACACTGATTCTTTAGGCATTAAATAGGAAAACTAAGTTGTTTTTATTCTGATCGGACTCTCAGGCTCCGCCCCAGTGGCTATGGAGTTTCCCATGTTAACCTTATGAATACTCATATTTAAATGGAATTAATTAATCTTAACAGCTGTTTCAATTAAACAAGTTGGTTCTGTTCTATGATGTGCAATAGCATTAAAGTTACAAGGATTACCAACAGGGTGCAGCACTATTATTTTTTTTTAAATTTATGACAACAGCTAATTTGCAACCAAGGACAACCTGGAGGCAAGTGAGCGCAGCGAACGAGCTCCAACCTAAATTGAGCCATGCGAACGAGCTCACTTATAAAGATAAACGGGGCAAAGCCCGCGAGTACAGCTAGTTTAATATATTTTTAATATTCATTTTTAGTATCCCACCTATTAGCTCCTTCTTTCTTATGACTTATGGAGTAAAGTTCTACTAAATTCACGTTTTAAATATTTTTAGCCAAAGTACAATGCTAAATAAAACTACAAAAATTACCTCAGAATTTCCTGATGATTCTTCACACATTGTTTTAGACTTTCCAATATTTCTTTATCTTTATAGATCAGTGCCATTAGTGAAGATTTAAATGCAATTCCCTTACTTTCGTAAGATACCTTCATTCCATCTATGATCTTTTCTGGATCATCGATTTCTTTTAGTTTTTCAAAATTGTCAGTTAGAACAGTAATATGCCCACACAACATCAATGTCAGCTGGTAAAGGAGGACATTACTACTTATTTGGTAAAAACTGTTGAAGCAGGCCATGTTAGTCTCGTAAAGAAATGTGACGTGGTAACCTGGGAATTGGGAATAATCCCAAGGGTACCAACCAGGCAAGAACTTATTGACAACAGTCACATTTCCAGAAGAACTGCTAGACAAAAGAGGCATACATTCCCATGCAGTCATAGGCAACAATTCCAACACGACAAAAAATACTGTGAACAAGTTAGTTTTCCTGACAAACTTCTCCAAAATCTCGTTACTTCTTGCCCGAGTCTTGTTTGAACTGAAAACAAACAAGTCGTCTGTCAATAATCGCAAGAGGTCCCCAATATCTTTTCTGTGATACAAAAAAGTAAGGTTTTTGATCTGGCAAATGGTCAGCGGAATGATCATGCAAATGATCTCTGATGTCATCACAAGATCATATTTTATCTTGAAGAAACTCATGAGTTGAAAAATCAAGTAAGGAGGAGCCAAAGAAATGGCTATCAGCATCGGTACAAGTGATGCTAACTCTTGAAGTTTTGTACCTTGTTTGTATTTTGTGATATATAGCCAACCGTTCAAGCTCAAATAATTTGTGTACAGCCCTGAGACAAACCGAACTTCCTCCTGTTTCATTCTGAAGAAATATTTCTGAATTACTCAATGCACCCCAGGACCCTAAATGACCAAAAGGTAATAACCAGGTAACTTGGGGTAAACTCATTGTCATCAACCTAATGAAAATGAGAGCGCTTTGAAAAAATACTTAGATCTTAATGGAATGCAATCACCTTTATCTCTAATAGGCTTTTAACAACTACAATTTTGTGGTAAAATATTTGCCTCAATCTTTATTCGATGTAGTTTTACTCACAATATGAGCTGGTGTAATTGAGGGATAGTACTAAACTATAAATTAATAGCCATATCTCATGTCTCAAAATATAAGTATCAAATAATCTTAATTGTTACAATAGTAATAAAGCAGCATTACACTGGTACAACGGCTACCACAATGGTAAATTTGAATAGAAAACGGTTGAATTTGAAGTGTATGAATAGAAAAATTATCAGATAGGCCTTATCGTAAATTCTTCTGTGCATGATAAGAGTTCTCACACCCTGTGTAAAACTGCTTGAAGTAACAAAATACCCCCGCCGCAGCAAACCTGCAGACTAAGCAAATTTTTTATTTACCCAGCTAGGTTTATAATCAAATATCCCCTAAAAATTTTCAGATTTATTTCCTATTTAAATAACATTAATTTTAGTGAGTACTTAGGTTTGCTGCCACGGGAAAGATATTGAGGTGTGTTTTTTTATTAAAATGTTGATGAATTAAAATGTTTATTATGAAATAAACAAAATTGCCAAATTTTATTTAAATATATCCATAAACAAGCAAACTACAACAGATTATTTCTTCTCCATGAGTGAAGGACAAATATTTGTTTAACATGGGAATTTTAAATTTACAATTTTTTTAATTATCTGCCCGTTGGGCATACTGCAACACTTCAATATAAAAGATTATTTCTTTTCTTAAGCTCTACAAAATGGTTTGGAGAGAAATTATGAAATTTTGTGATTTTAGGGTCAAAAATGGAAATAAATTTTTACCCCATAAACCCCCGTTCCCATAGTCCGATTATGGTAGTTCGCGAACTCGTTCAAATGAACGTAGGTTTACACGTTTGTACAAAATTTCATCAAAATCGGATCATTTTTGCTCGAGTTATATATATATATTTATTTATGTATACATATGAATTTGAACGGATGGTGTTTTTGGCCTCTGGGGATCTCAAAACCAAAAAGTAAATCGGTCCCGGATCTAGGTCTTACCATGAGACCTATGGTATTAGCTTATTCCCTATTATGGGAAATTCACTAAAAGGACAAACACATACTTTTCTTAGTCTACTGTTAATATAAATACATCTTTCTTGGTAAGAGGGGACTATGGAGAGTATGGACTGTCGGTTTGGTCAGTAAAAGTAGACTCAGTTTCTATTGTCAGCTAATGCTTATGTTTTACACTGGAGTGTGTGACTTTAAAAATAATTTGCAGTTATAACTACTTTATTAACTTCATCACTGACCCAAGCGTTCACTACTTTAGTGACTTTATCTTGTACCGGTAGGTGAATTGATAACACAGAACGGAAAACATTTGTATTATTACAAAAAATAAAAATATGTGATTGATTTTGCAGCAACATAGCTAATCATGGTTAGTTTAATTGTGTCGGCTGTGAGCAAATGAAAATATCTGCAAGAAAACAAGGTGAAATGAAAGAAAGTTGATGGACAAAATGATTGAATCACTTACGAAACTGCTGCTTATTTGCATTAGCAGAATTGAAAACAAGATGGAAGTCGTTTTGAGAGGTTATCTTTACATAAAAATTATTTTGTTTTCTAGCTTAGTTTGTTAATTAATTATGCAATATGAAGAAAATATAAATCACCACACGGGCAAAAAGTGTCAACCCTCACTCATTTTCCGACCTCAGCTTCGCCTCGATCGTAATACTTGACCTCGGGTCAAAAAGAGTCACTTTAGGCCCTAGTGATGAAATATACCATTACGATTACAAAAAAGTGTTATGCAGTTTTGGGAAACTAAACACCAAATGATTTTCAAGCCACAAAAAATGCATATATTTTCATTTCAATCAAACTACAACCAGCTGTTCCCTTAGTGAATAGTATAAAATCCAAAAATATTCATCTGTTCAAATGTAAACAAATCATTTTTCCATAAGGATAACATGGGAACTTTCGAGGCCACTGGGGCAGAGCCCTGATGGAATTTCTTGAAAACGCTTCTTATTGCTCACCTAGAGCCCTAATTAGAATCTCTATGCCAATTCCTGAGTTCTTATCGTTAGTAGTTTTTTTAGATACAGTAGTCAGTGAGTGGTATTTGACTTTTATTAGTATAAATAGAAGATATTTAATGGTACATTTCATCAGCTAAATCTATAAACAATTGTACAGATGAAAACAGAGGTGTTATTCAGGGAAAGAAACAACACAGCATTATATGTTTGATTGTATAATTACAAAATCAAGTAGGCTAGTACACATTGCTTTTAACATAGAGTCAAAGTCTTTCATTAGGAATAATTTGTTTAGCCTGAGTTAGCCTGTAAATACAAAAAATACATCAAATAACACTTGTGATAATATATTTACACTTATACTGTTTACTCACAATACGGTAAATACCACGAGTACTAGAAAAATACCGGTATGGATCATAAACATAAACAAATGATGTTTTTGGTCCGAAAGAAAACAAAACCCCTATACTAATTTGCCTATTGGGTCTGATGATGATTGGAGTGTCCAATCAAAATCGATCACCACTTACCATCTTTTATATGTATTTACTGTCTTGTGAGTAAAAAGTACAAGTGTAAATGTATTATCACAAGTGTTATTTGACATATTTTTTTTCTATTTTCAGGTAATTTAGTAACACGTTCGATACTGATCAAAAAGTTATTTATTTATTTAAGTTAAAGAAAAAAATAAAGCCAATGAGAAAGTTCAAGGTTCATTAACTTAGTATATAAAATACAACAATTTGTGCATACAATTTTAATTGTATTATGATTTTCTTAACTTGTTATGGTACATTGTAAGTGTATTATATAACATCTTCAATAGGAAACTGAACCAAATTAGTTTCTTGTATTACCAACACAATGACAATTTAATTAATAAAAATATTTGACAAAGTTCCACTCTGCGTCTGTATTGCACACACCCGTATTCAAACAAATTCAAGTGTAAACTAAATACATATTTCTTTCAAACAATAAACTAATTGCTAAAGAAAAGTGTTTTGTTATTAGACTATTGCCATAGAAAAAACATACTCCCTTGTGTTGCTTAGTCTATGCTATTGCACATGAGACATTTTTACATTTACACATTTACATTTTTTAAATGTATTATAATTAGCTTAGAAATAATTGGATTATTTAATCAGACTTGTTACATACCTAGATGTTATTAAACGTACATTACTTTTAAAACGTATACGTAAATAAGTGGAATGATTAGTTATCACTATACTTATGAACAGGTACTTTGAACTTGACTTTGAACGGCACATTAGGCAAAACCTACCACCAATTTTTAAGGATTGATGTTGGGTGTTTTAATCACATTCATGTTAGACTAAACAAAAGCCTTAATCAACTATACAAATTACTTTGTGCTATACTGTGTGTTTATCATTAGATTATTTGTAGTAAAGGACTCTTGCACAGGAGTTGCAATAAGATGTATTGCACTTTTAAGAAAAGGTATTAAAAATCTCAAAACACTTTGAACAAAATTCCACAAGAACTAGACTTAATTTTACTAAGTCAGTTTTACGCCAGTATGAGAGCCCACTCTGAAACTTTGTTTTCTTTTCTTAGTGTATTTTTCATACCTTATAAGTTTGGACTAGACAGTACATTACAGGGTTACAGCTCTTCTTTGACTTCTTTTACGACAGCTGGAATTTCTATTTGGTCTTCTTCCTCATCCTTGAGTTTGAAATACTTTTTTACCAAATCGTTACATCCCTGCCGAGACAAGTGGGACAGGTCGGTTCTGTACAGCTCCTGTAATCGAGAAGTTTAAAACAAAATATAAGTGTAATAATCATTAAGTTACAATTTTTCATTTTAAAATCCTTAGTTTGAAGTTCATTATTGGTGATGGTGAGTTAATGTTGTTTAAATGTTTATTGCATACATTTTCCATACCCACATAATATATTATTCAATGTGCCATTAAAAGAAAAATAGTAAAACATGAAACTGATTTTAATGCAAAAAAACATTCAAATATAAAAAACAATAATACAGCACAAAAAGAGAGGTTTACACTTGTTTGCAAGTTCTAAGTTACGAAGTTAGATTACTAGTTTATTACTAGTTATAAATGACTATTTCCTCTAAAAGGGAAATCAACATATACACAAGAAACTATGTGGTTTTTAATTGGACAGAGACAAGCAAAATACTGTTTACATAGGAAAACTAATTTACATACTAGCAGTGCAGAACAGAAATGTTAAACTAAAATAAGTATTGGTATGAAGAGACCAAACAGTTATTTTCCTAAAGTATCACATAGATGAACAGGCAATTTCCACACAGAGGGAGGGCACTACAGGGGTCTGTGAGAGAGTAAACATAAAAGGGAAGCATGTACATAATGGCGGCAAAACGTTAGGTCATGATTGGATAATTTAAAGTCAAATTTTAAATTGTATTTTTGTATTTAAGTTGCCAACAAATTCATAATTTATCTTTTCTATTGTCCAGTTCTAATTTAACGGTATGAGCTAGTTAACATTGCTGGACAAAAACACAAACCTACGAACACAAACAATTCAGTAAACTAGCCTATGGCGTATCAATTATATCAAAGTAAATGTTGAGGACACAAAACCACACTCAGTTGCAGCAAAGCTTATTTTAATTTATTGACTTTAGACTGACGATGACGATACTGGAAATCCAGAATTTTATAAAATCTGTAATTTAAAAAAACTTTCAAGTTTAAATAGTTAGTTTGTTCATTTGTAGGCCAGTTTATTTGTTCATTTAAACAGTTAGTTAGTGGCCGGTTGTTTAAGAACAATTCTAATAAAATCAAATCAAAATAATCTTTATTCATTTTTATATACAATATGTATACATAAATGACGTCAATATAAAACTATAAAATGCACCTTCAATTAGAAAAGATTTTAAAACATTTTTAAAATCGTCAGAGGTTATTTTATATTTTATTGAAATTGGTAGGCTGTTATACAAGTTAATCCCAGTATAGCTAGGCTTCTTTTTAAAAAAACTCTTTGTTATGTTTTGTAATTTGAAAATCACGTCTTTGTCTAGTATTTTCATGTTTGTTGAGATTTAAGTTTTACAAGGAGTGTCATAGTTTAGTTTTAACGTAGTCCTTAAGGCTTCTATTCATGTTGAAATTTGAAGTAGCACCATAGACTTCAATGCCATACGTTATGTGTGAATGAATTACTGAATAATAAACCGATTTAATTGTTTTCAAATCACAGAAAGTTGACAGTCTCTTTATAGCAAACATCCCAGAACTTATTTTAGAGCAGACTTTATCAACGTGACCTGTCCAACTAAGAGTGCAGTCCAACGCTAAACCTAAAAAATTAGTATTTTCATAAAGGTTGAAAGGTGGCACTGTTGAAGTAATAGATTTTGACATTAGGTTTCAGTCTCCCATTTATTTAAGTTTAAAAAAAATATACAGTCACTAAAAATCATGAAATAATTTATTTTTGTAAAAAAATACAACCGACTTCGAACGCTCTAAAAAGAATGAAATAATTTCAATAAAGTAAACTTTTGTATTAGGCAAGCTCACGTATTGTAAGTCGGCGCGGCTCTATGATGATTTTTGATACAAAATTGAAAGAGGGTGTCCATATTGCAGGAGACTATCTATAACTAAAGGTTTCAGGACATCTGCATGTCTTTTTCATAGTTATGCGTTAGGTGTTATTTTATTACCGTAATCAGACCAGATTTGGTCTTTGAACCAAAAGAGATCGGCATTATAGTGGTATTAACGAGTATCTTTAAAAAGATTATAATGCATTTAAATGTTTCTAACTTGGAAAAGTAACGTTTTAATTCTAAACTAGCTTCTTTTCCCTATCATAATATCAAACTAAATTATTTTCCTATTCATATAGAACATTTTGTGTGTGTTATTTTCATAATGCATTTATTCTGAAGTAAACATAAAATACGAGAAAATATTGTCTTTAATATATAAACAAAACATTTCAGTATGTTTTTTATATATTTATGTTATCCAGCTACAATTTATTGATTTTCAAAATACACACACAATATTTAATTTCAATCATATTTGCAGTTTGAGCCGCGCCGACTTGAAATACGTTAGCTTGCCTAATACAAAAGTTTACTTTATTGAAATTATTTCATTCTTTTTAGAGCGTTCAAAGTCGGTTGTATTTTTTTACAAAAATAAATTATTTCATGATTTTTAGTGACTGTATAATTTTTTATATATTAATTACTTGAGGTTTTTTGATAAGCAAAACTGTTTAGTCGAACTGTTAGTCGAAATTGCAAATCATCTTCCTCTAGCACTTTCTGAAGCAGGCATAATAGTATTGATATGATATAGTAACTGGGTAGAGAATATCAATAAACATTCCACATCTGCAAATGCATGTTTAGTAATAAAAATATTTAACACTTTTAAGACAATTGACGATTATGCACTTTCACACTTCTTAGGTCGTGTAAGGAATAATTGCATTTAATTTATATTTAGATCTGTTTTACGAATGCTTTGGTTTTCACAATACACCTTTAATTTCAATATCATACAGCTATTCACTGAAACATATATGTTTTTGTAAGTCAGAATATTCAATACTAAAAACAGAATTACTGTATACACAAATCAGGTCAAACGTTAAAATACATTTTTTATAGTAACCAAAACAAAATGCATTTTTCTCAATGTAATTCATTTAGGCTCCATAGCAAGAAATAGTTTATTGATCAATATGAAGCAACTGTTTCATTAAGAATTGTCTGTAGCTTCATTTAAATGGTTTCAACTAACAGCTGTAGGAATGTTATTATTATTTATTGCCTTCTCTGCACAAATGTAAACAATCTGCACAAATGTAAACAAAATAAATGTTGAATATTTAAGGTTTTCAGAATTTTTAACCGAAACAAATATTACACTTAAACATAATATATAAGGTACCAAATAGAAACTCTCCTGGTTATTTTGGTGGTGGAACCACACTGATCGGTAAAAGAATCACAGAGAAATTGGTGAACATACATAGAAAAAAAAAACATCGCCACAAACAAATTGAGAACCTCCTCCTTTTGTTGGTAGTGGGGAAGTCGGTTAATAAAATCATTATCCAAGTCTAAGGTTTCCCAATTTATTCCGTCCTACTGTAGAGTGTAACATCACTTGAATTCTCTGTCTTCCGATGAGGGGTATGTCAAGTCAGTATTTACACTATGTAAAAAACTAGACGTTGGGTCCATTCTATGATGAGGCATTACTTTGCTACTGAGGAATGAGGGAGGCTCTAACCGGAAGACCGAGAATTCAATAATTAGTTATTATATGTTTTGATATACAAATTTAGAACAAGTCTTTTAAGATGGACAGATAAATAAGAATATTAATAACACATTTTAGAGGGACCCATTACTAAATATATTTATTACAAATATTGTTTCTTACGCACATGAGACATGTTTATATTACAAGATTTATGAATATAAAAAATGATCTTGTTTTCCACAACTGCCTAATCAATGAACAACAAAAGGTATTGTGAGGTATTTAATCATAATCACTGATTATCTTAAATGCCTCATAACAATATCCCACATAAATTTTAGAAGCAAAATAGATATTCATACTTCAACTGGTGATAAATAAAATGGATAATAATACTTCAACTGGTGATAAATGAGATTAAAAAACCCTGATAGGTAGCATTTCACTGAACAGAGACAGCAAACAAACTAGTTAAATGTATAATTACCTTATCAGACTTATCAAACAAGACCAGGTGTGGAACAGCTCCAGGTATTGGATGAAACTCTACTCCAGAACTATCAAAGTTAAAGAAAAATAAAGTATACAGTCAGATGTTTAAAAATACACAGTATAAAAACAAAACAGATTAGGTACTATGCCTAAATTAATGAATTTAATATTTTAGTATTCATTCTGATAGCCCCTGGACTATGACTTAATAGGCTTACCTCCGTCAGTAGTCCAAATTGTGTCTAACTTCAAATAATAAAGTTGTTCAAAGCTGACATGTTTCGTTGCAATGCAACATCGTCGGAGCTTTACGTAAAAACATCAAAATAATTTACACATGCAGAACATCTTTGTTGAATTTAATGTTCTGAATTGTGCTCGATAATTTTAATTTAATGTTTTTTATTATCAGAATGAATACTATGAATTCAGCCAATCAGGCACACATAGCCATGCAATACAAAAACATCAAATTAAAATTATCGAACACAATTCAGAACATTAAATTCAACAAAGATGTGTAAATTATTTTGATGTTTTTGACTTAAAGCTCCGAGGATGTTGCATTGCAACAAAACTTGTCAGCTTTGAACAACTTTATTATTTGAAGTTAGACACAATTTGGACTTATGATGGAGGTAGGCCTATTAAGTCATAATATTTTAGATTGAAAGTATAAATCACTAAAATTCATAATGTTTTGAATGCGCTCTCGCCCTGTTGTACAAGTACAATAACTGTATATCGGAAGCACACAAAAATACCGTTACCTTCAGTATCCTATAGTCAATGCCTTTAATTAACTGATAGGTCCATTGTTCAACAAACTGTATAATGTTTAAGTGAACCAGTAATATTTGTTTGTGAATTTTAGTTAGAGTTCATTAAGTATCGAGAAAAATAAATCAAGGATTTGATCATTAATATGCAACGACATAGCACAGTTGTTCAAATGTGATTCTTAGGATCTTGTCAGGTGTCATTATACCCTTGTTGTTTGAGATGTGCACAAGTAAATAGTTATGATTAATTTATACGTTGATATAAGCTAACTAAATGTAGGTTATAGTTATACCATGTTAAGAATAACCCAAACAATACAATATTAGCTATGTTATTAAAGGATACTATTTGGGCAAATCACCATAGATGAAGGTTTTCACATCAGGTAGTCTGTTTAGAGAGCAGCCTCTACAACTCTGAAAAGAAAAACACAAGTATAAATACCGTAGTTAGAGAGGCAAATGTTTTTTCCACAAAAAAATTCAAAACTTCAGGCATCTTACATTTTACTGGGTCTCAAAATGTGTGAAACGGAAAAAAAAATCCATCAAGTATGAGGAACAAGCTGTTTGGACATACGATTTTGAATGGTGGAAAACATATTGGACAGCTGCTATTCATCAGGAATGTTTTGCAGTGTATGGATAAAAATAAAGTGATAAGAGGTTTGTGAATGGGTTTATCAGTAAGAAGAGTGAACAAATTATGTGGAATGCTGACCAATGGTGTCTTGATTTTGCTCATTCCGCTCAGATACTAAAGCCCTTCAAGGGAATTTATACTCCCAAATCTTCCCTATAAAAACGTTATGTTAGCCTATAGTGAAGTCCCAGCTTTAGCCGGTTCATAACAAACCTCAAAAGTATGTCGGGCAAAACCGCCGGGTAACAGCTAGTAGTTTCTAAAAACATTTGTTTATGTAAACAAAATTGATTTATGATCTGTTTAAGTTTTTCATCGATGTTTAATAAATGAAACTATTAATATTCAACCAAAAACAAAATATGAATGTTAACAAACAAATAGGCCTAATACTGTACCTAACTAAAACTTATCAAATTTTTTCAGAAATTTTAATAAAATTTGGTTTGAAGGTGGAGAGCGTGGGATAAACTTGAATGAGTTCACAAACCTGCATGATCTGACCATGTGAACAGCGTTTTATGGTGGTTTTTATTGGGTAAAAATTGGGTTTCTACATTTTTGACCCCTTAAAACATAAAGTTTCTATTTCCCTCTAAATTATTTGAAGAGTTTAAAAAAACAAATAATTTAGTATAGGTATTCAAGTGTTTTTTTACGGTTAAATTAAAACAGGATATTAAAACAGATGGAATATGGATCGTAAAGGAAAACGAAAATATCGATATATCGAAAAGAACATCGATAATAATGAATGTTCCCCTTGACAGGAAAGTACAATACCAAAAAACCTTTAAAAAGAGAAATTCATATTTTTTAAAAAAGCCAGTTTTTATTGAAATAAACTTAAGTAGCCTATGTGATAATCCTTAAATAATTTTCAACAACATAGTGCAACCTCCCATTGCTGTAAAAATTGTGGTTCAAAAGTTATTGTAAACTTAGCCTAGGCCTATGTTTATTTTTCCATAAAAAAACGGAAAAATTGATATAAACAAAACAATTTAGATTAAAACTTGTCTATTATGGTCCTTATAAATTCTAAACAAAAAGTGCGACCCCCATTCCTGTAAAAAAAACGTTTACGCTACACTACACTGTTTCGACAAACTTCCCACGCAAGGAAACAGTCCAGAAAACAGCCGTTAGCCGCCAGCTTAATCAAATGGGGTTTCACTGTACTGTGGTGATTACTTATGAGGCACCAACCAGCTGATTATAAGGTATTTTGCAATGAGTTGTTAACTTGTAACCAAAACATAACCTCTGTTAAAGGTTATGACTAGTGCTTGTTAATCTTTAAGTCCGTGGCTGCACTTTACTTTAGGTCCTACACTCATTCGAATAAAAATATTGATCGATATATCGTTTATTTACTTATATGTTTTATTTTCAATATTTTAATAGGTTCTTTCCACTAAATATATCTAACTTACTTGAACTTCTCCTCTAGCAACATCCTCAAGATTTGGTTCTATGTTTTCTCCACTTTGAACATTTCCTAATAAAATAAGGATTAAAACACAGGGAAATAAATATTTTATACTTTTAATCATTACTTAAGTGATTCAATGCAATACTAGGCTTATTATCAAGTAAATAAGCTCCCGGGGAAATGAGTAGCCTAATGTTCAATTCTAGGAGGTTTTTGAAGACTGCCTAAGTAGGTAACTTTCACTTGAAAATTGAAATTGAAATTCAATTTGAAAAAAATAATGGTTAGTCCTAAAAAGTATTTGATAAAAGTGCCTGTTGAAAGGCCCCGGCAATAATCTCTGAACAATCTACGTACTTTCAACAGTAATACACAAAAATAATAATTATAATATTGACTTGTGCATTAGCTTTAGCTAGCAATACTAGCAATAGGCCTAAGCAATTTTATGACAGCTAATACAAATAGGCTAGGCACAAAACGAAAACACCTGATCCTTATCCTACAATGATGATCTGTTGATATTTGAGCTTGAGCGAGCAGTGCAGTGAGTCAACTCAACAGTCAGTGAGTGAACTGAATAATCATTACACCACAAAAAAAAAAAAAAAACAGGCAAGGAGGCAAGACGAAGGAAGACAGACGGAAAGGGTCCAGTTTACGCAAGGCTCACGGGACGCTACATATCGCACAATTCTATCGGCTCTCATGACGTGACGTCAGTCTCTTCTCTTTGAGGAAACCCGGACCACCACTGTACAGCAACGATACGGCGTACAGTAGTCGCAGCTAGTCCGGGCACTCGGCTGTGCTAGAGCAGGGGTGTAGAGGGGAGTGTTTATTGCTCATTTCCAAAAACATCTGGCCCTCACGGCTCTCTGGGGTTGTTCAGCGCCTCAGCGCTGTGTTCATGGCTTTGGCGTGGGGGACGATTAGTACACAAGGGTCCGCGCTCCCAGACTAACTGAGACTAATGTAGAGCCTACAGTCTTGATGGAATAGTGGATAGCGTATCAGTCTGTTGAACTGAGGATTGCCGGATCGAATCCCACCGGAGACACTAACTTTTTGTCAGAGATTTAGCTTAGAATGCGATTACTTCTTGACTGTACATCTTACGTTAGGCCGCCTTCACACTAGGTCACTGTGACCAGGAAGTGACCCAGGCTGTGGCCCATGTTGTTTTAGGCTACCTTTACACTAGGTCACTGTGACCGTAGCCACTGTGTTGGTCACTACAAATTGACTGTTATTTTTGTTAGCAACCTAGAGACACGGCCCCCTTTAACTCTAGGCCGTGGCTTGGTAGAATTGGCAACGTCGCAAGTGGTGTTGTCTAGCACCAGGTCCAGACGTCCCATAAGATAACATGACAGAAAGGTGACACCAGCTCATTATTTCACGTATTATTAATTAAAATTTATAAACATACATGTATTAAAAGATTGAAAATAAAACATATAGAATTGAAAACCAATACAATTTAAATTGATAATCAATTTTTGCACTTTTAAAGTGGGTCAATATTTTCATAGCCCAGCAGCAAAGGTTTCCTATTCTTAAAAAATTCCCCAAATCAACATTAGTTGCATACAAACAAAACAGCTGTTACAGCCCTACTTACGACGTTGCCGCTTCGAAGGCCGCGGCTTGGAGTTAGAGGCTGCCGTACCATAACCCAGAGACATGGGTGCTTTTCTACTTCACAAATAAATATTTTCCGATCTTCTTCCTCTTTTACCTCTTCTCGTATCGCTGTGCTTGTTTAGATTTGTTTTTTAGCGAATTTCCTATATAGTGAATAAGCTAAACCGTAGGTCTCATGGTGAGACCTAGACCTGGCACCGATTTACTTTTTCGTTTTGAGGTCCCCATAGCCCCAAAAGACCCTCCGTTCAAATTCATATATATATGTCCGTTAGCACGATGAATCGAGCAAAAATCATCCGATTTTGATTAAATTTGGTACAGACGTGTACACCTACGTTTATTCAAACGAGTTTTCGAACTAGCACGATCGGATTATGGGAACAGGGATTTATGAGGGATTATGGCGTGAAAATTGGTTTATCACATGATTTACACTAAAAACACTAAATTTAATTCTTCCCTAACCATTTTGTAGAGCTTAAAATAAATAATTTTGTACATTGAAGCGTTGCTGACGTTGCTGTATGCCTAAGTTAACGGTTATGGAGATAAACATTGTAAATTACAAATTATAATATTCTTATGGAGAACAAAACACTTCTGTAGTTTGCTTGTTTATGAATATATTTTTTATTAAATTTGGCAATTTTGTTTATTTTCATCTAAGCTATCAACATTTCAATAAAAAAATCAATTCCTTCCCTCTAGCAGCAAACCTATAAGTATTCATTAAAATTAATGTTATTTAAATAGGAAATAAATCTGACAACTTAAAGGAGATATTTTAGTATAAATTCAGCTCGGTAAATGTAAACTCGCTTGGTTTGCAGGTTTGCTGCGGTGGGGTAATTTTTACTGGTGGTGCGATTTGCTGACACAGATCCTTAATTTAAACTATTCTCAGTATCAAAACCTACTAACACATGGACATGGAACACTTGGACTTCCTACCATCGCACCGTGTATAACTTCCGTCCCTTCATCTATTACCACTTTCACTCATCATTGCTCCACGTAAGCTGGGTTTTCCTAGGCGCGGAAGCGGAGAGCGGAGAGAGGAACGCGGAGAGCGGGAAAGAGATTAACATGGTGTTCGCTCCGCTTCTAGGAAAACAGTAACATTAAATTACCTAAGACAAGTGGAGTCCGCTCTCCGCGTTCCTCTCTCCGCTCTCCACTTCCGCGCCTAGGAAAACCTGGCTTTAAACAAACTGCTTATACGAAATCTTCACTTGTTCAGAACAATGTGCGTGCAGTGACCCTAGTCACAATGTCCCAATGGTAACTCATGGCCACCATGTTTGAACTGCTCCATTTGAAGTTAATGCCTGACGACGACGAGTCACACAACCAAGTCGGTGACCGAGCTGGGTCACTGTTTCCTTACTTGGACACTTGGAGAATTCCCACTGGTATCGCATCAGCGACGTGGTCGTCAGGTTTTTATACTTTTCTTGCTTTTAATTAATATAAAATTGATTCATTTCCTCTTCAGGGATGCACATGGCCTAGACATATATTTCATCAACACTGTAGTAGGCCGCTTGACTTAAAAATGTTTTTAGCAGGTTCTTGAATTTGTTGATAGAAGGCTCTTGCGTGATGTACTGAGGCAATTTGTTGTAAATCTTTATACTATTGAAGTAAGGGCTCTTGCTTGCAAGGGTGGAATTTACTTGTGGTACATGAGGATTTGTTGCTCTTCTTGTATTGTAATTGTGGACCATGCTGTTAGTTACAAAAATATTAGGATTCTTCTTAACGAGCAATGCAGATTCCAATATAAAGAGAGACGGAAGTGTGAGTATGTTCAGTTCTTGGAACAGAGGTTTACAGTGTGTCCGTCTATGGACTCCACATATTCTTCTAATTGAACGTTTTTGAAGGATGAAGATGCGTTTTGCCTCACTACAACTACCCCAAAATACCAAACCATATGAAACTATGCTATGAAAGCAGCCATAGTAAACCTTAAGGAGAATCTCGATGTCAACCAGCTTTTGTAGTCTAAACAGCAGGTAGGTGACAGATGACAGTCTGGGCGCTATTGCATCGACATGCGTTCCCCAATTTAGGTTCTCCGTAATGTGTAGACCCAAGTATTTGGTTTCACTACAGGTTTCAAGAGGCACCCCGTCCAAGGTCAATATCGGAGGTGGTTCAGGCTTCTTCCTGTTATAAAACTCCATTAATTTGGTTTTACTAGAATTTAGGACCAGATGATTTTTGCTACACCAAGTTGACATTTCAAGTAAGCCAGTTTGGGTGTTTTCAATTGTGATGTTTCGATTTGGGCTTGGGACTAAGTGACAGGCATCATCAGCAAAAAGCCATAAATTTCCAGAAGATATGGAGCCAGGCAAGTCATTCACGTATAACAGGAATAGGATGGGCCCAAGGTTTGATCCTTGCCAAGCAACAGTGACCTATAGTGCGAAGGGTTACATTTAACTCAATGCTTTAAAATTTTGAGCTAGTAGAGTTTGTCAATTTTTGTCACAGAACTTTTTTTGATTAGTAAATCTTCATTCGATTTTTTTCTTTATCAGCAAGTTTGGTTAGGTTATGACAGTTTGGTTTTACAATTAAAAAGTTATACAATTAATTTTAAACTAAGTAAAACGTCATTGGATCTACGAACCATGAATATGACCTCTAAAACTTATGCCGCCATGGGTCTACGGACCAGGACCATCAATTTGGCGTCACGGATGGCTCCCGTGCGCCTGTCCGGAAATCGACCCCTCCTGCCCCTGCTCTGCTGCTGCTGCAGCTGCTACTGTTTAGTGTTTTTTATTTTTATTAGTGTTTGTTTAAGTTTACTTTTACCACTGACTGAGCTATCTTTTACGTCCCAACGTCCCGTTGGCCGTTTGTTTGTTGATACAGTATTAAGAATTAACTAATTCTTTCCTCTTGTCTTGTTGTTGTTGCTTTGCTAGTTATTTGGTTTTATTCCATTCATTGAACTTTGAAGAATTTAGCCTAGTGGTGTCAATTGTGAATAATGTGTGGTAGCCCAAGGTTACTATTTTATTGATACATAGTTTATGGTTTGAGTGTTCGATATCATAGGCTTTGCATTATTTCAAAATATAGGCTACTAAAGAATTTAAGCTAATAACCATGGATCCAGCTTTACTGAGGGAACGTGAACTTTTCAAGAAGAGAGCTTTGTCAACACCCACGTAAGTAGGCTTAAGCTTATTTTAGTTAGGAACTTAATAATAAGTTGGTTATTGTCCAGTTTCCACAACTCACCTAAAACGCACTTAAAAACGTTCTTAAACTGTTCTTTGACATCAATACTACAACTCGCCTAAATAACTTTTTTGTCGCCGAGGCTTCCTTACTCGCTAAAAACTCGCTAAAACATCGAGACAACAGGGTTTTTGTTATCAGCCATTATTCCTACTCACTAGGGGACAGAGTGGGAATCCGGGGTTTTGGGTGGGGGGAAAAAGTCGCTTAAACATCGAGACAAAAGGGTAATTTCATGGGAAGATGGGTAATTTGTACAACGAATATGGGATTTTTTTTTAATTATGCGGGATAAAGTACCTAAAACGGGATAAAAATCAAAATTACTGGGGATAATATCCCCATTTTAGGGATTTTATGCACATATCAGGGATAAATGCAATGCCACGTCACTAGGTTTGTTGTCGCGTCGCTATTGGCCAATGATACGTCACTTGGGTTGTTGACGCTTCGCTATTGGCCACTGGTTATGAGTCAGCAAGGCAAAGAGTAATAATTCTCATCATACCAATGGGTTGTAGACTATGTAAAATAACCTCGGAAATACTTTATTTAGGCATGTGGGGAAGGGGAGACGGGGATTATGCGGGTTCGTGGCTGCAATAAGTGTTTTGAAGTTAGGTTAGATTAGTAAGGTAAAGTATAGGTTATAGTTGGCCGGGTTGTTTATTTATGTAAAATCTACAACGTTTTATCACTATTGGAACATTGGCTTAAACAACGAGGCTACGATTTCAAAAATGCTTGCATTTTTGAAATGGTACCGTTGTTTAAGCCAATGTTCCTATAGTGATAAAACGATGTAGATTTTACATAAATAAACAGCCCGGCCAACTATAACCTATACTTTAACTTCACTAATCTAACCTACCTTCAAAGGACTTAGTGCAGCCAAGAACCCGCATAATGTCCGGCCCCCTTCACCACATGTCTTTTCATATTTGTTGTATAATGAGTTTATACAGCAAGTTTGGTTAGGGTTGGTTAGTTTAGAATAGTTTCAATACAAAATACGAATATGAATACTATTACAGCAAGTCTGCATAAGTTTAGTTACTTAACAGCAGTTCTGTCATGGCCGCCTTAGAGGCGGCCGTAAAGGCGGCCGTGGTTCTGCTGTATAGTTTCACTTTAACCAGCGCTTGTCACTTCTGCTAAGTGGTTCGGGACGGTTGTGCTACATGGTAAAAGTTTTTGCGCTGCGATTTGGTGTACTAATAGGGAGTTTGCGGGATCACATAGCTATTTTGGAGGGGATTGCTGGTGAATCCTGGGGGTTTTGCGGGTGATTCCTGGGGTAATTAGCTGTAGTGCTTCGTCTTCGTTAAACCAGTTTTCGCCAGTTTTAGTAGGTTGTTCCGAGATGGCTGACGTAATCGAACCTCAGTGCGATTCTTGCGAAGTGAAGTTTTTGGACAGTGTGCGTAGATCGCGGACTGACATTGTCTTGTTTATGGTTAATCACGGTGTGATGAGCCGGGAAAGTGCTTGCACTCGATGTGGTAATTTGTGCCCGCTGGTCGTGGATTTTCATTTTAAAGATTAGCTCGTTCGCATGGCTCAATCATGTCCTGGTCGAAATTTATTCGCTACGCTCACTCCTACATTTAGGTTGGAGCTCGTTCGCTACGCTAACTCGCCTCCAGGTTGAAGTTAGCTGTTGTCATAAATACAAAAAAATAGAATAGTGCTGCAGCCTGTTGGTAACCTATACAATTTTTAAAGCTATTGAACATCACAGAATCAAATTGTTTAGTTGAACCAGCTGTTAAGATTCTTTAATTCCATTTAAATATGAGTACTCATAAGGTTTAACATGGAAACTCCAGAGCCATTTTGACGGATCCGCACCAAACTTCACACAAACCATCCTTGAATAATGCCTGAAAGTTTCATTACAATCGGTCGAGCGGTTTCGGAGTCCATAAAGGACAAACAAACAAACATTCATACATTGGATTTTATATATAGGCCTAGATTATTTAAATGCATCAATGGTGCATAAATCAATCTGATTCAATCTATAACAGATTAGGCCTAGGCATAGATATGTAAATATTGTTAAGATTTTTTGAGTTAACAATCGATTAAATTAATGAACAGTAGGCTATGCGGTTTCTCTGCCTTAAGTTAGTGTAGGGCCTAAGTTATTTCAAGTTCAGTTTCCTGACGCAGGTAATGTAGTCTTAACTTGGCCTTGTGTAAACACGGCCCTTAATAGGTATAACCGGTTACCCTTCATAGGTGTTGCAACAGAGTTTTCCTCTGGGCACATTTATTTTTAGGCTATAGAAAAATATGCTTTATTATCGCTGGCTGGTAGTTTTCAGAACGAACGTCAGAGGTCTATCTTATAAACATGCCTCTTTCTAGGTACCGAATGGACATCATTTCACTCCTCCATCTTTCGTATTACCCCTAACTTATTAAACAGTTGAATCCTGAGAGTCGTATATCATGAAGCCTGATTCCAAGTGCCACCGCTTGTGCTGCGCTACATGTACACTACTAAGTTTAGGTTCTCCGAGTGTATTTCTATGTGTCACCTATGACTTTTATCTATTTATTTCCTATATATTTTAAATAGGCCTAAGTTTATGTCAATTTAGGTTTTTTATTGATTCAAAGGAAAAATCTCTAGCCTAATAATTAATTATAGGCCTACATTGATTCCATACCTTTTAGCGAATTTCCCATATAGGGAATAACCTATTACTGCAGGACTCATGGTAAGACCTAGACCTGGGACCGATTTACATTTTCGTGTCCTTTAGCGTGATAACTCAAGCAAAAGTGAACCGATTTTGATGAAATTTGGTACAAACGTGTAAACCTACGTTTATTCAAACGAGTTCCCATACTACCATAATCGGACTATGGCAACGGGGGTTTATGGGAGGTTTTATGATGTAAAAATTGGGTTTTCCCATTTTTGACTCTAAAACATAAAATTTCATCATTTTATGACCAAATTTCGGGTTTGAGAGACAAAATTAGGTTTTAAAATACGTAACAGTCGTCTCACCTGGAATTAGTCACACCTTAAAATTTGTCCAGATAGCCTAGCCTACAATGAGATAGTCCAGGACTCTAACGTGTTCGTGTGGCTCAGAATATTAATTACCGTACAACAATAATGCTAACAATGTTAAGATTACCTTTAACAAGTGGTCATCATAGCCACTCAAAAAATATGTGAAGCTAAATTTAGAATTTTGAATCAACTATTGTGAACGTGGATATAACGTAATTAATTGAGAAACGTAAATATTAAAGCGTGAATCAGTCGATGTACTTGGTAATCACCAAAGTAAACGTGTCAGGAAAAATTTGACTCAGTCGAACACCAGAGTCGATACGGGTTTCTTAAATCAGATTAATGTAAGCCCATCCAGGGTAGATGAATAAATTCTACATATATCGTTCTGACAACTTAAATGATTTCCGAAGCTGGTTAAAGACAAAAGGTGGTGTGCTCGTACATGATAAAGCGTGCGGGGTGCGCACAACTACAGTACGGTAAAAAAAAAATAAATCTCCAAAAATGAGATTAAATCAAATAAACTCGGTAGCACACTCACCTGATGCCTTAGGATTCTACCAGGAATGGGGGAACCAACTCTTTAACTGACCAGAATTTAGTAAGTTAGACTGTTGGATTGTCCTCCAAACAGCAAATGTAACATTGAGTCTGTAGCGGATAGGCAACTGATAATGAGGTCTGCTCTTCTGGCCGTTCTTCGCCATCGCCCCTAGCGGCGGGGTAGGTAACTAGCGTCCTCCCCTCTACGATGACGTAGAACCCTTCTCAACCTGCCCCTTCGATGCCGTTGTCAACGCAAACACGGTTTACCCCGAAAGTAGAATTTTATAATAACTTTTAAAATGGATTTTTACCCCTCGACGGGTTTTGGGTCGTTACAATTTCTTTCCAGACCATTTTGTAGAGCTTATTAAAGGAAATAATTTTGTATATTGAAGCCTTGTTTTATGCCTAACGGTTACGAAGATAATTAAAAAAAACTTTAAATTTAAAATTCACATGTTATTCTTATAGAGAATAAATAAACTGTTGTAGTTTGCTTGTTTATGGATATAATTAAACCGAATTTGAAAATGTTGTTTATTTAATGCTAAGCTATCGACATTCCAATAGAAAAAAAACACATCTCAATATCTTCCCTGTAGCAGCAAACCTAGGTACACACTAAAGTTAATGTTAATTGAATAGGAAGTAAATCTGACAATTTTTAGGCAATATTTTAGTAGAAATCCAGCCAGGTACGGTAAATGGAAATTCGCTTAGTAGTTTGTATTAATATTGGCCTGTAAAAATTATATTGTTTGTTTAATGTTTTAATACCCATAAAAAACACTCTGTGCCATCAACCATGTTAATCATAGACACCCATGAAAGGTTAAGGACAGTCAAAGTTAGGTACGATAAGAATTAAGATACAATTTGTTATATTTTGCATTAAAGTAGGCCTTTAGATCTGGTCTTGACAGATTTTAAACTTTGTTTAGAATATGTGCTGTTTATAATGTATCTACCAGTGGGCCTATAGGTACTGTTATGTTAGTTAAAAACCGAAGCTGTATAACATGCATACAATCACAAGCATGTCAATTTAAATAAATAAGACAAAAGTTTACAACTAACTATCATGTTATGTTTGTTTGTCCCTTTTTTGAGGTAACTCGGCATACTTTGATGAGAGGCTTGTAAACATAAAGTAGTGATAGAAGGCTAAAAGGTAACATATGATGTTTTTGTTACAGTGTTGAAAAGAAGAAAAGTGAAACTGTTTCCACTCCTAAAGATGAGCCAAAGAAAAAGAGTAAACCGTCATCATCAACACCATCTTCTGGAGGTGGTGTCAGGTATTGTAGCCTATGCTTTGATTACCCTTTATTCTATTACTATGCCCATATTTTATGTTAGGTAGGTACTTGTACAATTTACTACAGTTGAACCTCGTCTGTACGAACCTCGATAAAACGAATTCCTCGATAAGACGAATTTTTTTAAATCCCCTTGACACTTTCAGTAATTCAGTTAAAAACCTCCATAAGACGAATTTGTTTGTGACATGGGCTAGGACTGATTAACCTCTATACAACGAATATTCTTAGCATAAAACCTCTACAAGACGAACGTGACCTCTATAAGACGAATTTATCATAATCTTAACCTCCATAGTACGTAGTTTTCAAAACAAACAGAAGCTTGTCTCAACATGAAACCCCCACCCATCCCTCCTCCTTCCTCAGTCATTGTTTGGAGAAACCTTGGAGCGAGGAGAAACCTCTATAAGAAGAATAACAGCAGCATTAAACCTCGATAAAACGACCCTCTTTATTAAGAATACCTCTATAGTCCGAATTTTTCCCGTACCCCTTGAAATTCGTCTTATAGAGGTTCAACTGTATGCAAGTTAGGATGGAGAAACTTATTAATGTTGGATAATGTTATAATTGGTAAGTTATGAGTAATTAGTGTTTCAACTGATTAAATAATTGTCATAGTAAGCTATTTACAAAACTGATGTGTATCTACAAGTTTTACACTTTAAATTAAAAAAATGTTTTGATTCAAATAAAAAACAATGCGTTTTCTTTTGTTAAATACTAACTCATCCCTAATTTTCTGTATTCAAATGCCTGACCTGCAATGAAATAATGAGTCATGCCATTGCTAGCAATTCATTTTGCTATAAATTTAGAACAAAAACTAGAAATAAGGTTCGTTTCACCAGTCCTATTTAGTGTGCATACCGGTACAGAAATGCTTTGTCCAAGTCATATTGTACTTTCCAAAGCACTTTGTCAAAGAAAAACTTTAGTCTTATGGTGAAATAAACCAACTGAATGTTCTACAATTTTTTTATTAGAATTTGTTACATTTTGTTCCTTTAACAAACTTGTTCTGCGTTAAACTCGGAATACAAGTTTGAAACATTACAACATGTTTGTTAACTATTCCAGCTACAAGTCGATGGCAGGAAGCTCACAATACAAGTTTGGTGTTCTTGCCAAGATAGTGAAGCACATGAAGTCGAGGCATCAACAAGGCGATGATCATCCCCTCACCTTGGAAGAGATACTCGATGAAACTAATCAGCTGGACGTTGGCAGCAAAGTCAAACAGGTAAACAAATTGTTTTTGTTAGTTGCAGATTCAATTTAGTAACAGTGAACATTACATTTTTTTCACAACCCAGTCAGTTGATGTGTTCACCTTCAATGATGACTTTCCTGCATTTTACAGATCAGGAATTAAGAACAACACTGTTAAGGGAAGTCATCCAAGCTCTAAAATCTTTGTGGTTAGGCTACCATAGAGGTCAGAAAACATTTAAAATCTATTTTAGTGTAACAAAGTTAAAATGAAATATTTTAAAATTTGACTCTTTGATTTTAATAGAAATTTGAAGAGTTTCAAGATTCTCAAAATATTTATTTCGATATTTCGAAAAATGAATTGTGATGTAATATTGAAACTAGTTGGGATATCAAGTTGAAATTTAGAATTTTTCTTTGCCTTTATGAGAGACAAAGACTTTATGAGGTGTAACAGTGTCTAGATGAAATGTCATTTAAATCTGAAATGGTCAGGTAAAGTTGGTATTTTAACTGTGCTGTTTAGTTGATATATGGAACATTGCAGCAATCCATCGTTGGGCAAGCTGAAATTCAACTTAAGACTACAATCGAGTTGTCCATCTTCTCTAAAGATGATTTTCTAATCCACAACTTTGGCTAGTATTTTCTTAACAGTCAGTGTATTTGTATTTGTTAATTAATAAAAGAGATGACTTATTGCAGTGGTTGATGGTAGAAGCTCTGGCCAACAACCCCAAGATTGAGGTTAACCAAGAGGGAAAGTATATCTTCAAAGCACCGTTCAAGATCAAAGACAAGAAGGGACTGCTGAAACTGCTGAAACAGCATGACCTGAAGGGGTTGGGTGGAATCATGTTGGAGGATGTGCAAGAATCTCTGCCACATTGTGAGAAATCCCTCAAGGTCAGTATTTGTGATGTGTTTGACGCAAATCTTTAATTTTGAATTCACCAAATCTCGAGATAAGATGTGAGTTTGTGATTCAATAGTCTGGTTGCTAACCATGGTTGGTGACAAAGGTTTGTTCCTCAAAATCTGTGGTTTCATTATTAATGCCAAAATAATCTAAAAGTATACCGGTACTAAATTTACTGAGTGAATAAACTCTAAATTTCGTTCAAGGAAAGGCTCTAGGCCAGGATTTTGAATTGTAGAATAAGGAGTTGTCCCACGGGGAACTTTGTCAAGTGTAGAGAAAGTGGTATAAAGAGTTTCTTTTCCTCTTGGCTAACCTCAATATTTGGGTTGTTGGCTAGAGCTTCTACCACCAGCTACTGAAATAAGCCACTACTTAAAACAATTCACAAAAACAAACGGTCAAATCTTGACCTTCTGGTGGCATCATTGAATCGGCGAAAATACTGGCCAGCATTTTGGTTGTTTTACAGCAATCCATTTCCACAGCAAGATACAAATTTCAACTACAGTTTTCAGTTGGAAAGATGTTTTGACTGGATAATTTAAAAAAATTAATAGTTTACAAACCAATTTTATTCAGTTTAAATGGGTTTGATGATCGAAGATGTTTATTTTTTTCTCTCTCCTTTGTTTTTAATTACTTTCCACGACTTTTTCTGTACACTTGACAAAGTCCCCCAGGGGACAAAATATTGCTTGTTCAGTATCTCTTCTGTATGTTCTATAGCCTACCTACAAGCTACAAGCTAGCTTCAAGGTACGCTAGCTGCTATACTCCTTATTCTATATCTCTCTAGAGACTTGTCTCATAAAATTTCCTTTCAAAATCAGGTAAAGTTGCTTTAAATAGATTTTAAACAGTAAGACTTCAAAGGTGTTACCGATTGACTATTTATGTTTTGTCATCACTTTTTCTCTACTTTAATTTACTCAATTTTTTTTAGCACTTAGCAAACGAAATAGTTTACATTACAAGGCCAATGGATAAGAAGAAAATAATGTTTTACAACGATAAAACAGCAAACATGTCGATTGACGAGGAGTTTCAAAAACTATGGAGATCAGTGGCTGTCGAAAACATGGACGACATGAAAATTGAAGAATACTTGGAAAAGCAGGTTAGTCCCAGTCAGTTAAGAAAGCTTAAAACCCTTTCTTAACCCAAAGCTTAAGAAGCCATGGCTTTGCCTCCCTTAGTAGATTTGTCATCCTTATGGAACAGCTGATGCCAATTTTATTGTTAGTTCTGTCCGGTGCACTGCAGAGGTTGTGTTTTGTTTACAATTTGTTTCTTGTGTTTTCAGTCATTTAAAACCTCGTTTAACCAAATAAAACAAGATAATCATAATCAATAACTTGTTCCCTAGTTATATAACCAAGCAGCAAAGCATAAATCATAAAATTAACCCTAAAATAATATAATACAATTTTGACGACACTAGCGATCAGTGTTACCAAACATGAACTAGACACAAAAAACGAGCTTCAAAATTTAGAATGGGATGAGAAGTCTACTTGTGTTGGTTGGTGTATGATTCTATCTATATCAACACACCTTACCTACATCACAAAAACCTACCTTGTGTTCTTTTATGAGTTACATCTCTTTCAGAAATATTGAAAATTCTGGCGTTATTCATTGGTTCATTTGGTATCTAGTAAATAAACAGTTTAATTCACCTTTATTTCAGTAGGAACATAGAATACAGTAATTTAAAATTTTCAGGGAATCAGATCCATGCAAGACCACGGTCTGAAGAAAGTAACGCCTGCACACAAGAGAAAGAAGCCGAACCAAAGGAAAAAGCAGCTGAAGAAGCCAAGAGACAACGAACATTTGGCTGACGTACTTGAAACATATGATGATAAATAAACCACATCGACACTTCAAGTCGGTACTGTGGTGGGGTTCCTGATTTGTATTCAAATCTCCTGTTTTAAACTGATACATTTCTGGTTCTACTGTGTAGAGTGGGAAATGACTAAGAGTTTTGTAAATAAATAGTTGATTTTGTACCAGTTTACTCCAACATCTGCACCTCTTCTCAATTAGAAGTTTTAGGCCTCTGGAGACTTCAAAACGAAAGAGTAAATCGATCATGGGGCTAGGTCTTACCATGAGACCTACAGTAATAGCTTATTCCCTCTATGGGAAATTCGCTAAAAACAACTCTTTATAGAACTAAATCCTAGGTTTTAAACCAATGAAGTCCTATCCAATTTGTGTTGTGCCGACTAACCAATCCTTCAGGGAAAGCTATTAGACAACAGTCATTACTTCATAGTTGGAGACACTACGTAACCACAGAATGGTTGTGACAAATGTAAAAGGTGTGTTGTACCAAGCCATGTTTATGTCTCTATTACTTTCACTATAACTAAATCATGAAACTGGGATGCAGTTGAGGAAGATAGTAAAAGCATTGACTATTGGATACTGAAGTAGACATCCCCATTTATATGGACCAGCTGTAGCCAATTTTTTACTAAAAAAGAACATAGTTGTGTGAGCCAGTCACAGAATGCGCTAGTGTCTATAAAATTCTATTTTATACCTTATTTTTTGTTGCTGACCAGGTTGATGGGTCATAACATCTGCTATAGCTCACCAAAAGTTATTCCCTAAGTTTGACTTGGTAAAATGGTTTTTGTATTCGACAGAATTAAGTAATTTAGATCAGCACAGTCTGTCGTTGGCTCACATCAAGTACGACGATTTTGATTTAAAAAACTGGCTACAAATTTAACATGGGGATGGAATGTCTAGTAAAAGTAAAATTATGTGGGATGATTGAGATGCCTTGTATTGTTTTGTTACAAGAACAGGTTACCAGAACAACGTTTTTAATATGGTAACAGTAACTAACATTTTAAAGTTAATAGTTGTATACAAATTATTTACAGATTTTTTTATACAAATAAATCAATTGTCTTTAGGTAAGGCACTGTCACTTTTTCCCCTGCAATACACTTTAACTGAGGCTTTACTGCCTAGCATGCGGTCCAGGAGAGATTGTTTGTTCTTGCGACGCACACTCAACACTTCGCGACACAGTTCGTGAAACACTTCACCCACTTGCGTCACTTGCTCGGCAGCTGCCACTTCACTGAACGAGCATTCAAAGTCTTTGGCTAGAATTTCACCTGTAATGCAAAAAATATAGGTATGCAGTTTAATTGGTTGTATATCAATCTGTTTGATAGATTATTTTAATTTGTGTGTTTCAGTGGTGTTGGTAATTTTTTACATGCCACTCTTTTGGGTCAGAATTTACCCCAGTTGCGGTCAAACCATCAACCAAGCTTCAGATTTGTACTGTGGAAGAAATTTTTGCTAATTTTGTAAGACCACGTAAGTTCAAACTAAGATCTATAATGTGAAACATGGGTACAAGCGTGAGAACTAGGAGTTAAGTCAGTCTGACGCTGCCATTTTAAAATGACAAAAGCTCATAGAGCTATGCATGTCATAACATTATTTTCTCTTCTGTCTGGTTTTTTTATTCGTTTTAACATTTTATTTTAATCATGTAAAGTTAAAAAAAAACTGTTTTCTTTACACAAGAACCTGTTATATTATTTGCAAAAGAAACTAGAAAGAATTACCACAAAACTGTAGCATTACATAAACGAGAAACAGTTTCTCTATTATTGAGATCTAGCTGTTCGCCCGTTCTACGTACGGGAAACTTGTAGTAAGTTGAAACCTTATATTCAGAACAGGAGTTGGTTTGCATATTTAGTGTGCATTTTTCCAGATATGCTGGCAAGACTATTACTGTATAGGAATACATAATAAACCTTCGCAAACACAATATCTGACAGTTTCAAAGCCAAAACGAATGCTTCGCAATTAAGTGTCAACCGATCGTGTTAGTCCATATTTCATATCTAATGATAAAAGGAACTGCTTTATAGATCTATGAGGCATAGCCCTTACGGAGGCCTGTAAATGAAAGTTACTTTTCACACTGGTTAAAAGTAGTAAAAATACTACCTCAACCTCACTACTGCACACTTTATTCGGGTTGAAATTTGCATTAACAAAGGTGCTCTTTTTTCACGAAACACTGAGAAATAAGGACATTAATGCGTTACCAACAGGCTTACACACACAAATACAGAAATGAATTAGGGGATTTACTACGCTTTAACCAAAGCAAATAACAATTATTTGAAAGTTTTGATAGTGTCATCAAATTTTATAATAATCGGTTTTAGGCCTAATCAAACTGTAAAATTGGTGTAAATCCGTTGGCAAATATATAAATAATTAAATAAATACACAGCCCACAAAACATTTATACGTTAACAACGCCAAGCTTTAAAAATTCATGATGGTTTGCTAAATAAATAGTTCACTAATTTATTATCATTTTCATAGCATAAAGTAACATTTTGGAGTCCAAACAGAAAACGCAATAAAATTATACAGTAAGACATCAATTAAATTTAATAAGAAATAAGGTACAGCAGTAACGATAACTATAGTTGTAAATAGTGATGTGTTTGGACGTAAAAATGATTCTTGCTGCTACCACCAGTTCTAAGGAAAAGTAGCAGTACCAAAAACCAACGTTTACATTTAAGAAAAGAACTATAGTACTTACGATTACGACCAATTCAAACTGTCCTTCTAATCAAACTGTATTATAGGTGTTAATCCGTTGGAAAATATATAAATAAATAAATACACAGGCCACAAAACATGTAACGTTAACAACGTAAAGCTTTAAAAACTCACTATGGTTTGCTCAAAAAAACTTTCACTTGATGTGGTGCAGTACCGAAGCTATTAATCTCCCTTGGTTTTAAATTTTTTAAGTTTTCGAAAATTATAGTTATTTCCCATTTATTTGTAAGCAACTTTTAATGTTAACATATTAATGACAGTTTGAAGAAACCACCTTTATCCAAACAAAGGTTTCTTTAAAAGATTACGTAATCTCTAAACTATAATCGGTACACATATCTAGCAAACATTCGGAGGAAATGTGACAAAAAACGCACAAATCTGGGGTTTTGGACGTTTGTAGTTTTACTTCCTAAGTAGAAAAAGTACCGATGTCGTTGTCGAAATGTAAGTAAGTAGAAACCGAAAGTGACACATTGGAAAAAGCGAGTTGCGATTTTAGCTACATCTGTAAGTTAAACATATGTTACGATCACAGTGAAATTAGAAAGATCTTCCAAGATCACAGCAACATCCACGATCACCCACTGCAGTTGATTTTTTACTTTGCACTTTACACAACTGTCTTTGAAGCGCCGTCAATGAGTGGAAACCTTTTTTGTAAACTATTGGTGACGATGATTAAAAAAATGTAAGTTTCCCAGCACTGATTCACAACACTGATTCTCAGTATTTTCCCCGGTTATAAAAACTCAAGAACAATCGTTGCACTTGCGATTAATTAAACCGGTTAAGTAAGGCACAACGGTTTTAATCTAACTTGGTTTGGATGTGCTAACAAAATTTGATCGGAAATGGTTGCGGTATTTGTAAACAGTATTTAATGTAAACATATCAGTGACAGCTAGAAATGAGAACTAATCCAAACAGCTGATCCTTATTTCATAAAATGTAATAGTAAACATTGGGAGAAAATTTGACAAAAATCGAACAAAATTGGGTTTTTGGTGGTTTGTTATATTTTTTCAAAAGTAGTTAGGCCATATTTTAATAGCTAAAGACACTCTCGCCAATCCAGTGAATACAGAAAAATAATTGGAATCTTGATCTGTACTCTAGTTTTCAAGGAGTAGGCCACGTAAAATGACATTTTGGCGTTACAGACGAAGTCACAGAATGGACAAACAGACAGACATACAGACAGAAATTGAGATAAGACTCGTTTCGGCTTTCTTAGGCTATGAAACGTAAAAATAACCAAAAACTGCATGATTCTAAGCAATGTACAGACAAAACTGTAATTTTATTTATATAGATGTTAAATTATGCACTGAATGAAGGCTACAAATTAAAAGAGTACAAGGACTGATTTTGTTTTTCATAGTAACCTATCTGACTAAGTTCTATCCAGTGTCATATAGTTCGTTAGTCACTAGTACAAAAAGGTTCCTGTGATGTAACAGCTTTTCAAAAAAATGTATTTTTAATTGAAACTAAAAAAAAAAAAACTAAACAACATATGTGTATTTTGCTGGTTAAGAAATTTGTGAGCGATAAGTTTAGTGTGTTGAGGATACTATAGTTCGGCTGCTTAGAAAACGACCTGCGCGCTAATGCTAAACCAATGCTGGAGGAGGTCGCTTTCTAAGCGGCCGAACTATAGCTATAACATCCTTATATATAATACGTGAAGGCGATTTCTACAAAACACTACTCCTCCGTTAATAATGGACGGATTTTTACAAACAATGTGTCAAAATTAAGTATTTGTTGTGTTGACACCCCCTTTCACCAATTCCTGTAATAAAAGTCCTCGGGCTCTGCCCCACAGGTCATCAAAATCCCAATGTATTTCTTATGAAAAAATGATTTTGTTTACTTAAACAGACGAATAATTTGTATTAATTACAGCGGTTCGTTTTCAGTTTCGATAACTGGAATGGAGTGATTGAATACATTATCTTTGAGTTTACTCTTTTAAGTCATCGGGAATAATTATGACTGTTATTCGTTTTGTAATAACACCTGTAATACTTTGCAATTGCTCGAATCCGAGCAACAGGTGCACTAGTATTATGAATTAAGAGAGCTGATGCACAGTACAGATTAATGTCCGGGGACTGTACACTTCCACCTGTTTATTGTACCTCTCAAATCTTTGTTATCTTAAATTTTTTGATGGGTCTATTTTAGAGGTTTCAAAGACCCTACTTCTCCTTGCTCTAAGTTATTCACATTCTTTTAAGAGATGTGCGTCAAAGAACTTTAATTATTACATAAACAAGCTGATTCCTTTAACTGATTCCTTAACTAATTCAAAAGACATGTTAAAAAGTCCCAAGAAGTTAGCCATGTCATAGTTACCTTCCTCAGTGCTGACTTGGCGCAGGTGTACCATATCTGCCTTGTTGCCTACCAGCACCAGCGGAAGGTCTGATGTAAGAGCTTGTCTGGCCCGGCGCACGTAGTTG